GATCGCTAGAGCTTAGATGTTAGTTTTCGCGGGTGTTGCGATTGATGGAAAATATATTATTAATACTTGAATTTTTGGCACATGATGTAGTAACGGCTCGATTAAGGGTTTTGTTGAGTGAAGAAAAGAAATTGGGAGAAAATAAATCTCTCATCACCTGTTGAATGATCAAAGAGATGAGAGAACTATTGAGAAAATGATGAGAAAGAGCAATATTTTAAAACTTAAGTTTTATTGACACCGAAATTGCTCTTTATAATTTTTTTTACAATTATTCTAATACAAAATAAGTAAAATTTTATGACATGTGTCCTTTTTATTTATTTATTTATGTGTTGATAATTAGTGCAATATGCCAAAGTTAGGTGTGACCCCAATTTTTTCTCTCATGAGCATACATTAATGTATACTTATGCCTTGTTTTTTTTTTATGTTGACAAATCACAATCATTTATTTGCTTTTTTCAAACTCATTTATATGTTATTTTTCACTTCGCATATCCAAATGGGGCCTAAATGGTGTATTGATAATTTTGTTATACTAGATGATGAATAGTTTTTTGTTTTTTTTGGTGGATTTGCATTATATAAACCCAGTAGCAGTGATTTGGCTTTAAATACTTGTCAGAAACAAAGGAATACATTACTTAACATGGACTAAAGTTTTATCATAGTTCTGTGCTGAATTTTCATGTTTTTTTTCTTTTTTTAGTTGCTTCAAAGTTATTGTACTCAAAGATTTTGGATTTTGAATTAGGTTATAATGCTACTGGTGCAAAACCATTTTAGGTGGTATTTGATCTCATTTTCTGGGTATGAGGTCTTCTTTTTGTTGCACAAACTTACCAAACATTTCTTTGTTGCCCCTGTATCATAACAGATAAGCTGAAATGTGATTAACTATACATTTCTCTATCACTTTAGTATTATTTCTTGTATATACATATTACATACTTAAATAAGAATTATTTAGTCACATATGATTAACTATATTTGGATTAGATGTAGGTTGGGGTGGTATATTCTGAAACCTGAAATGTGTGAAATCCACCCATTGCCATTCACAATCCTGAAAGGAACACACTTGAGCCTTTTGTTTTCATTTGACGCTTTTTAGTTTTTTTGCTATGGTCTCCCTTATACTTGTATGTTCTAATAAAATAATGTAATGTAAGGACTCTGTCAGCCCATTTAACTGCTTAGACCAACTTCTAATTGCATGCGGTTCTTTAAACATATGAGTCATGCTGCTTTATACCGCTTTTGAAAATTAGTGCACTGAAGAGTTCTGCATTTTGGTTTTCTAATGCTATATTTTTCACAATGACAGCCAATGAGTATGGTGTTACCTAGTGTGGTTGGATTCAAGTTGTCTGGAAAACTAAACAATGGTGTCACAGCTACTGATTTGGTTTTAACTGTGACCCAAATGCTAAGGAAGCATGGTGTTGTTGGCAAATTTGTTGAGTTCTATGGTAATAAAAATTTAAGCCTTAGTAATTTTCAACTGCCTTGATTTCATCCACAACAGGTCTAACTCACTAATATGTCCTTCATGTAGGAGAAGGCGTGGGTAAAATATCATAAGCTGATAGGGCCACTATTGCCAATATGTCTCCTGAGTATGGTGCAACAATGGGGTTCTTTCCTGTTGACAAGGTTACTTTGCAATATCTAAAATTGACTGGAAGAAGTGATGAAACTGTAAGTATTTTCAACCTTCATGTGTGTACATAAATCTAATGACCATGATGTTTGATGTATGTCTCATCTTATTGCTTTTATTTAAATTTTCATGAGGTTGTACTTATTTGTGTTAAAATTCAGGTGGCAATGATTGAAGCATATTTGCGTGCAAATAACATGTTTGTTGACTATAAGGAGGTAAGGCTTTCTCCCTTTCTCTTCTCATAAGTTACTCCTGTAAGTTCCATTTGGGATATAACTATTTGCCTCTATTTAGCTTTTACGAAATTTTTAACTTACATTGGTTTTAATAGCATTTCCTAGAATTAAACAAATTTATATTGACTGTAGACTCATGTATATATCAACCTTCACAGGGAAATCTTATTTCGACTCCACCAACCAGTGAGACTATTCTTCGAGGGATCACACGAAAAACTGTCATCGACATTGCCCGTGATCATGGGTTCCAGGTAGTTATTCTTGCAACACATAACTTACACATAGGCTTGGTTATGTTGTGCTAAAATATGTTCTTTCAATTGGAATTTGGCTCATAAGAAACTAAATACTCTCTCTGTGTTTGTAATTTGTCATGTCAATTCCTTGAATATGGTATTGAAGCTCATTAAGAATGTACATGCTATGATAATCGGCTTATGATTCTTGAAGGCTGGTGCATTTTACAGTCTTACTTATTCAGTATCTTCAGCTGATGCCCATTTGGTCTCTTTTTTTTTTTTTTTGATTTGCATTTGGCTTTTGTTTTGGTGTAGCATTTATGAGGTTATGTTTTTATTTATTATTATTTTTGTTTGTTTTAGGTGGGATGTACGGTATGCCACCCCTGATGGACCGCTATGGCTTGGGTATGGGTATGGCCATGGGCCATGCTGGCATGGTATGTGCAAAATGTCCATGTCTAGAGCTGTTTACTAATTAATTTATTTGCAAGGAAGCATAGTGCTACAGAATAACGTACATGATGGCCGCATAATCATGTTTAAGTTGACAAATATTTTCAAAACCATACTCTTTCTCTATGTGATGGTTTGGGAAAATTTTCTCTGAACTCCTCTCTTTCTCTACCTAAGTTTCCATTATTTGTTTTGGTACATGAATTATTGAAAGCACTCTCACCTCTCAGTATACGAGCTCATGAATGATTTTTTTTCTGCAGGGCCCAAGGCCTGGATTTTTTCTAGATGATAAATATCAAAAGAAAGGTGCAAATTTTGCCATATCTAGGCTGTTTTTGAACTTCTGACCAATGATTTGACTTGATGCTATCTCTTTATGTACTAACTTGTATCTCTGTGTCTTTGAACACACCTGTAGATGGAATGCGTGATAACGACTGGACATGTCCTAAATGTGGAAATGCCAACTTGTCTTTTAGAACAGTTTGCAATATGAGGAAGTGCAATACTCCAAAGCTCGAACCTCAGGTTTGAGCTACTTTCATTTCTCGATTTTACTCGACATTTAAAATGTCTGGTATTATAGCTTGCTCTTAGTCATTTTGGATGCTGAATTTGGAAATTTCTTCATTATGTTGTGTCATCATCCTGTTAGTTTAGAAAAATTTCCTTTGATGTTTGTTTAAAGTTTCGTTGGTTTGAAACATTACTCAGGTTTGAGCTACTTTCATTTCTCGATTTTACTCGACATTTAAAATGTCTGGTATTATAGCTTGCTCTTTGTCATTTTGGATGCTGAATTTGGAAATTTCTTCATTACGTTGTGTCATCATCCTGTTAGTTTAGAAAAATTTCCTTTGATGTTTGTTTAAAATTTCATTGGTTTGAAACATTACTTTGTTGAATATGCAGGCTGAGAAATCTGATTCCAATTCTAGTAAGTCCTTTTAAACCTTCCTTGTGGTTGGCTGCAATTTCTTAGCACGATACTTATAGATCTCGTCTTTCAGAACACAAGATGCTCGATGGGAGCTGGAAGTGTGAGAAATGCAATAACATAAACTACCCTTTTAGGACCAAATGTAACAGACAAAACTGTGGGGTCGATAAACCATCTGAGGGACAGAAATTCCCTTCCTTTTAAACCTTCCTTGTGGTTGGCTGCAATTTCTTAGCACGATACTTATAGATCTCGTCTTTCAGAACACAAGATGCTCGATGGGAGCTGGAAGTGTGAGAAATGCAATAACATAAACTACCCTTTTAGGACCAAATGTAACAGACAAAACTGTGGGGCCGATAAACCATCTGAAGGACAGAAATCCCCTCTAGAACCAGCAGATGAAAATGATCAGGTGTGTCATGAGATACATTTACTTACTATGTCCATTTGTTGCTTGAAATTTCCATTAAGATTGTTAACCATATATGTGTATAGCACAAACAAAAAAAGTACCAAGGTTCACGATATATCTTTAGTTAATGATCTTTGGCGGAGCTACTATTTTTCCCTCTTGCTCGTCTTGGTTAGATCTTGTAGTGGTTGCATCTGTGATTTTCCTATTTTGATATTTGTTGCTTCTACCTCCTCGAGCATTTATTAATTTTGCAATTGTCTAATTTTCCAGTGAGTTCTATAGGAAATGTTTGTGGGTTGAGAAAGGTCCAGAGTTGTCGTCGTCCAGCTATGCTCATTATGGGTGTCTGAAAGTCAGTCATGTCGTTGTCGTCGTATTGCCGCACTTGTCAAGCTTATTCTGCCTTCTCGTGATCCATGTCGAGTTGTATTAATAAACTGGGATTTGGTATTTGTGGTCTAGTATGGATCTTCTTTATTCATATTATGCATTGATTAAATCATATGTTTCAATTTGGCTGGACAAGGTGATTTGATTGTGATTCATCTTTAATATTTTCTACATTTCAGTCGTGTGAAATGTTTTCTTTTTTTTTTTTTTTTACAGGAATGCAACTTATATGAACTCAGGAAAAATTGGGAAGCTTTTCTCCAAAGTTGAAAAAGTTCGAAATTGATGCTTTGAAGTGTTGTGTATCAATCACATTTGTACTCTTCTTTTTTGTTACATTTATTCTTTTCTTAGTATTTTAAATTTTGAGATGATGATGGAGAATATGAATTCGGTTGTGATTTTTGTAATTTCAATTTTGATGTGTTTGGTTGAATGTATATATTTTTTGAAACAGGGTTTGAATATATTTTGGAGAATTCTAACTAGTGGCAAATAAAATATTATTGCTGAATGGTTAAAATTTCATTAGGTTTCTTTTTTGAAGAAAAAAAAAATTTGCTTTTGGCGGCGTTTTTAAAAAATGCCACTATAGGGTTTGCATAACGTCATCTCGCCGGAAGGAATCACCGCCGGTGACTGTAGCATGACGTTTCTAAAACATCACAATAAGGTCTACAATGGCGTTTTTTAAACGTCGCAAACATATAACGACGGTCGTATCTTTAACGTATAATAAAAACGTCACCAAAAGTTTTAGCGGCGTTTTTTAGATATTTAGCGGCGTTTTACAAACGCCATTAAAAACTGTATTTCCTATAGTGTAACAAAGAAAACCCAACTCAGAAAACACCTCTAGACACCAAACTCAGTAGAAGAAAGCTCCTAAATACCCTAAATTCCACTGGTTTAGGCCTTACAGTTGGGTCTGTGGTTGCTTAGCCAGCAAGAGTTGAACCAGAGAGCCTAATTGAAGCCACTTCAACCAGATTGTCATACTCAAGGTTCTTGCAGTACCTTGATGAAGGTGCTGTGAGGAAGGTGGACTTGTTTGAGAACGGGTCGGTGGCCATAGCTGAGGTATTCAATCCTACACTCAATAAAATCCAGAGAGTTAAAGTACAGTTTCCTGGATTGCCACAAGAGCTTTTGAGGAAGCTGAGAAAGAAGAATGTGGACTTTGCAGCTCATCCAATGGAAGTGAACATGGTAGCTGCAATACTTGATTTGTTGGGTAATTTGGCTTTTCCATTGATATTGCTTGGATCTTTGCTGCTGAGGACTTCCTCTGGAAATACTCCTGGAAGGCCTAACTTGCCTTTTGGACTTGGCATGTATGGTGATTAACTCCCTCTATGTACATAAATTAAGAGGCACAAACATGGACATTGAACATCACACGAACACACATACATAATAATTTTTGAAAAATACGGGATATGACTTGTGGGGGACACATAAAAAATATATAATTATATACTTATTGTATGTCATATATAATATAAAAAAAATGAAACGAAATATTATCTTTCTTTTTATAATTTTAAATTCTTTTATTTAAACTAATAATATATTTTTAAGTATGACCCTGGAAATTCAAGGCCAGTTCCACTACCTAAACTAAACACTCCTCACGGCGGTTACTATTTTTTATTTTCATACATTAGGAAATACATTTTTGTTTTTATTTTTATTTGTAAAAAAACAAAAATAAAAAACTTGTTTGGAGTACGTACATGTTTTGAAGATTTGTCCTTGTGGATGTCAATTTTGTTTGATATATCAAAAGGGTTATTGAGTAAAGTTTTGGACCTCTCATAACACTTCCTAGAAATAACTAATACTAACACAATGGTATGAATTTTGTTTTCCACCAATCTAATAATTATCAGTTATCCATTTAGGAGGAACAATTAGGTTCAAAGTCTGCATATCAATGACTTGATAACAATACTTTACTCCTATATCTACCTACCTACAGGAGCAAAGCCAAATTTCAAATGGAACAAACACAGGAGTAACCTTTGAGGATGTAGTTGGAGTTGATGAAGCAAAACAAGATTTTCAAGAAATTGTTGAGTTCCTAAAAGCCCCAGGAAAGTTTGCTGCAGTGGGGGCAAAATTCCAAAAGGAGTACTACTAATAGGCCCACCGGGCACTGGAAAGACGCTCATCGCCAGAGCCATAGCCGGGGAAGCAAGAGTCCCTTTCTTTTCAGTCTCTGGATCAGAGTTCATAGAGATGTTTGTAGGGATGGGGGCTTCAAGAGTGAGTGTTAGAATTTCCCATCTTTACCTTCACCTACTCCACTACACACTCCACTTCACCTACCTCCACTTCACCACACACTCCACTTCACCTAACCCACTATCACCTCCACTACACCTACTACCACATTTTCTTCTATATATAGATTGTATAGGAATTGTAAATATGTATCTTGTAACAACAAATCAATCAATAATACATGCATCAATTATTACAGTGAGGGACTTGTTCAACAAGGCGCAGATGAACTCGCCGTGCTTGGTTTTCATCGATGAGATGGATGCTGTTGGGAGGCAGAGAGGGACTGGCATTGGTGGAGGAAATGATGAGAGGGAACAAACACTGAACCAGTTGTTGACAGAGATGGATGGATTTAGTGGAAACAGTGGAATCATTGTCATTGCTGCTACTAACAGGCCTGGAATTCTTGATCAAGCTTTGCTTAGGCCTGGCAAGTTTGACAGACAGGTCAGTTTGCTAACTTGCTATTGCTATTGTATAATTGCACAATTTTAGAAAAAGGGTAAATTACAATGACATCCCTAAGTTAAAATCGTAAATTTGTTGAATTTACTGTAATACCCTTATTCTCTGTCACCCTTTCCTCATTTTTGCTTAGTCTAATCCATCGCCCTTCGATTCTTCCTCCTCCTCCCTCCCTTCACCCCACTCATGGAAATAAAACCACCATAAACCCACCTATTTCACTCAAAAAGAGAGAGAGAGAGAGAGAGAGAGAGGATGGCAAGTTTGTGAGAGGCAGTTCAAATCTGGTAGAAGAGGAGAAGAGGGTAGCTTAAGAACGTTTACCAGGGCAAATTTGGCATTTCATGCCTTTCTTTTTGCTGAGGTCATTTTTTTCATTTGGTCGACAGATAGTTGACCAACGAAAGGACTAAATTGTTGCAATAAAATTTTGGAACGAGGAAGGGCAGTGCTACTTTAGAGAGTAAACACTACAAGAATTTACATTTTTGGCGATCAAATTTGGCGATTAAAACAAATTTAGTTGCCAAAAGTGTAACAATAGGCGACTAAAAAACTGATTGGTCGGCCTTAACATAGATTTTAGGCTACTAAATTTTTTAGTCGTGGAATGTTAATTTTTGCCGACTAAAAAAAATTTAGTCGCCAGAAGTATAACAATAGGTGACAAAAAAAACAATTGGTCGGCGTTAGTTTAGGGTTTAGGCTACTAAATATTTTTTTAGTCGAGCTATATTAATTTTTTCCGACTAAATAATAATTTAGTCGCCAAATAATAATGTGCAAGTTTAATTTAGTCTTCAGCGACCAAAAAATTGGTCGCTAAATATGTATTTTTAGTGACCAAAACCTTTTGGTCGGCAATGGTGTTACACTTCTGGCGACCAAAAAATTTTTTGTCGGCACTAGTTCATGTTTTGGCTACTAAAATAATTTTAGTCGTCATTTGTTAATATTTCCCATCTAAAATTTCATCGCCAAATGTGTATAAAAATTTAGTGGGAAATATTTCATATTGGCGCCTAAATTTTTGCCCAAATCTGTTAGTCTTCACACGGTTCTATTCTATCTCTCTCTCTCTCTCTCTCTCTCTCTCACTCATAGAGAATCGATCACCACTGCCCCTCATCTCACCGTCGCAGGCTACCACAGTGTCCGTCAATCTTCCACTGTCAAACATTGCCACCGTAGCTCACTGTTGCCTCGCCTCCCATCGACATTCAAGTTATTCTTTGTTCTTCTCTCTTTCTCTCTCTCCATTCCTCTATTTCCCTATTTCACTCTAGCTCTAGGGGTTTTTTTTTTTTTGATGCTATAGGATTTTGATTTCTATGTTTCGAGTAAATGGGTTTTGATTTTTGATCTAGATTTAGTGTTTTTTCAACTGATTATCGAGTAAATGGGTCTCTTTGCTTCAAATCTATTGATTATTTTGCCTTCTTTAATATTTATTTTTGGGGTTGATTTTTACAATCTGATAAACCACTTGAGCTTGTTTGGGGAAAATTTCTAAATGAGGCTATCTTGGTTGTTTCTTTTACGCATGATGCTTGACTGCTACCTAAAGCTTTGGTGATTACATTAATGGAGGGATAGTTGAAAAGGTAGAAGATATATTTCTTTATGTGTTTGTGTAACACGTGCATTTATAAATAGAGTTTTTTTTTCCCATCTAACAGGTAAATAAATAAATAAATTGGATTTAGCAAAAGGCACTAACAAAACAAAAAGTAATAATTAAAACGTAATCAACTTTAGCTAATCTATCCAGAAATGGATCAGCTTTCAAAATATATCTATGACAAAATATCGTTGATTTTCAAGAAATTATCACTTTGTCCTATCACATTACTAACTATGAAAAATTTAATCTCTACCTTGCATTGCAGGCTTTCCTTCTTCATCACCATTTCTTTACTAGCTTTATTTGACTTCTAACTTTTTTTTACATGGGTTATTATACAAGACACCTTAGATATATGCATGAGTAACACTATCACATGAAGCATTCTAAGTGGTGAAGCTAATATAAACTTCATTTTTTGTAATGAAGAGGGGGAAGACTTAAACCATGTGTTGCTCTTTTGTCCTTTTATCTAGAAGGTTTGGTCTCATATTATCAGATGGTGAGGCTTGCAATGGGTACTACCTGGCTCTGTGAATTGCTTACTATAATGGTGGGCTAGTATTAAATTTAAAAAACAGAATAATATCATCTGGAAGGCCATTCCTTTGGCTATGCTCTGGTCCATTTGGAAATAGAGGAATAATTGCATTTTTAAGGGGTCACAACCATATATAGGGGAGCCGTGTGAGACTATTAAATTAATGATTGCAATGTGGATCAAAGTATCTTGCCCTTCTTTGGATTTTTCAATTAATGATATTATTTTCAACTTGCAAAAAGTCAAAGTTTGCATTGGGGGGATTGGTTAGCAGGCCTGGGATAGAGTATTTAGGCTGGTGATTTTGCTTTAAGTTTGTGCTGACATTACTTGTATTTGCTATACAATCTTTTGTACCATTTCCTAATTCCATGTTTCCATATTTATTTAGGCTTTAGTTATTTTAAACTTTGTGTCAATCACTTCTACACGTATGTAAGCTCATATTAAACAATCTGAATTTTTTTATATGGTTGGGATTGTTTATCTTATTATAATAACCCAAATTATTTTTTTTAGTCAGTGCATAATTTAATTGAGCAAATTTTCAAATTTGGAGTGCTGTGTAAAATTCTGTGCGAAAACAGTTTGGTTTTGTATTTCTTAAAAATAGTAACCGATCTCAGAAAATTATGATATTTTTGTATGTTGTTCCCATATGAGTCTAGCATGTTGGATAAAAATTTCAGAATTAAATGATGAGTATTTATTTTATGAAAATTCACGGACTGATTGGTGTTCAGTTTAATTTATAGCAGAATTTGAAATTGAGTTTTGGGTATTCGGACCAGGATTTGAGATAAATTTGTTGGGACTATTTTGGTATATAATTGGACCATGTTTGACTTATGGGTGAGACCCATGATTTAGATTTAATTTAATTTGAGTTTGTTTAATGACTCATATTTAACTGTTTGGTCTTTTTTTTTAATTAGGTTGGTAGTAACCACCTTAGGAGTTGTTATTAATTATTATATAGGATTGTAATAAATATTTGATAGATGACTTTATGGTGTGTACCATATGACGAAAAATTATATATTTTATAAAGAATGAAATTGTGTATATTTCGTAGTGATCAAAATATTATATTTTGTGGTGAGAAAAATTATATCATTTTATAATTTATATTATAAAATTTTGAGGTATTATTACAAAAATTATATTTTTTGAAAAAAATCAAGCTTTGGGAACACACACCCACGTGGGTGGCCCCTCTTTTGTCTCATTGCCATCATCTTTTCTTCCTTTCAATTCTATTGCATTTGATTTCTATTGCATTGAGCAGAGAGTTTAACTTTCTTTCCCCTCTCTATCATTCTCTCTCTTTTTCCCTATTCCTCCATTGTTGCTCAACCTTTGAGCTTTGAGTGGGAGTCTTTAGAGTGAGATTTTACAAAAGTTTTGTAAATGAAAGTCAGAGAGCTCGTCGTAATCTTCGCAATGGCAGTCTCGGATTCATGATCGGACAAGGTGTGCCTTCTAGATCTGCTCTTCTTCATTATTTGAGGTAGGGACTTTCTTCATATTTTTACATTAAAGTTTTGTTAGGGCTATTTTGAGAAAACATATCATTATAAGAGGTTTTGCATATAGATATATTTTTAGATTTTGTTTGGTAATTTTTGGAAGAAAATTTATGTTGAAATGTTAAGAATGTTGGTATTTTGAGATTGATTTTGAAAAAATCATTTTGTGTTGTTAATTTTGTAAAAAAAATCCGAAAATAGAATTTAATAGTTGTATGGATTGTATCTACATCATATTATGGTTAGATAATTTATTTTGAGAAATTAATGTTTAAATATTTATCTCATCCTTGAGTTTTGGAATTTAATTTTGAGAAAAATAAATTGATATTGAGGAATATTGTGTAAATTGTTAAGTAGGGATTTTTCCGACACTTCTTTATGTACTTTTACTTGATTATAAGGAGCTTAGAGTTGTATATAATTTAATTAGAATTTTTGAAAAATTTGTGATTTATTTGCTTAAAAAAGAAATTTTGAGAAAAATAAGGAGTTGATGCCCAAATTGCAAAAGTGTAAACTTGGAATATGTTTGTAAGGTTATAAAAGAGCTATGTTTTAAATTTGAACAAAAACGGACTTCGATTCGATCGTTTTGAAATTTTTACCGGTTTGCGACCAAAAGAGCATTTTTAAAGAAAACAAAGGAATTATGTTTAACTTATGGGGCTTTTGATCAAGATAGGATGTCATAGTTGAATAATGCTTGGAGAATGAGTTTGGAAAGAAAATGATGTTTTCTTGGGCATGAACGGTATTATTTTTCTTAATGTATCTATTGGAATAAAACCGACATTGTTAGAAATGGACTTTGAGAGGTTACCGGATGTGATTGTAAAATGAAAACTAGTGTAGTTGTTCATATTTGAAAAAATGTGGAATATGATTTGTTTCTAAATGTTGGGAATCATGGGAGATTCCAGGTTATGGTTATATGTTGGATTGTATGTCCATGTGGTTATCTTTTAATTAATATATTAGAGATAACTATTTTGGCTATCGGTGATAATTTACCATGTTGCACTTAAATGAGGGATTTCTTGGAAGGATGAGAAATGATGAAACTTTGGAAGTTTGATATATAATATGTTATAAATTTGTTTTGAAATGACTAAATTAAGATTAACATTGAAAACGTGAAATTGGAAGGTTGTGATTATAAATGGTGATATTGGATATGTATTATCTCACTTATGGAAGTTTTGAATAAACGATTTATTTTGATATTGAATATCTCTTTAGAAATAATTGCATTGGGCTATCGGTGGGGGATAGCTATGATTGTTGTAGAAATTACATGACGATTATGCGATTTAATGCTAATCTATTGTTGGTGTTATTGAATATGACTATGTTATAGATACATTGTATATGTATGTTTGTTTGGGAGGAGAAAGGGGATGTACTCTATATGTGATTATGTTTATAAATACATTGCATATGTATATTTGCTTGGGAGGAGAAAGGGGATGGACTCCATTTAAAGCAAGTTGGCCGAAGTGTCCTAGGTGAAAGACCCGAAATTTTATATACAAATGGGTGCCGATTCCTTCAGACGAAATATCCGTAAAATGGCAGGTTTGAAGTGTTCATGTGAGTTTTACATAATTGGAAAATCATTGAGTTGTAGTCTTATTTTGGTTGTTGAAAGATAATGAATTTAACTCATGAATTGAGTAGCATATATGAACTGGGGGGTAGTACTTAAATAGTCTACTTGCAGACACCAACCTATGGATTACCTGAGTCGTATTTACTACTTTGGAATTTTATTAAAATTGTTGGATTAATGTGTTTTCAAATTGGCATTGTACATAGATTTTCAAAAGATGAGAAAATATTTTAGCATGACATGGCATATGTATTCATCTCATAAGACTATATAAAATGTATTTAATCCTTTGTCAGATGTCATTGTAAATTGTTTAATTATTTGATTCAATTGACAAATGGGTATTTGAAAGAATTGAAAAGGATGTCATGTTGCATTTGAGGCATGCTTGTTTATTTAAGTTAACTAGTTGTGGTTAATTAAATAAATTATATTTAAGAGTTTATGTAATAGAATCATATGGTTTTGACATGATATGATTTCACATATATATAGGAGTATCTTTGTACCTACATATCTTTTAATGTTTTAATATGAGATTGTTCGGTGAGCTTGCTCACCCCCTGCCTGTACATGTGTACAGAGAATACTTTTCGGATTTGAAGATTAAACAATGGGTTTTACCATTTCATAAGTATAATGTAATGATGGATTATACTATTTTATTTGTTATTTGGCTGAGTGCTATTTTTTTTGTAAAGAGTAGTATCCCCTCTTTTATTGTAAGCCTTAGGGCATTTCTTTTATTTGTATGTAAATGTCATTGTTGTATAACGAGAGGGAATATGTATATTTAATTATTCATCATTTCATCCAAGGATGAAATATTATTTGTAAATGGACTTAATTAATGAATATTGTTAATGTTATCCGAGTGATAAAATACGAGGCGTTACACTTATTTTTGGTTGAATTTGGATTGAAGGTGTGTGAGTGAAATTCTGACCATACTGCCAACTCAGTATTCAACTGGAGAGCACTGGCAGAATAGGATAAGCCCCAACGACCTGCAATAGGAAGAAGAGATTCCGGCAGTGGTTCGTCCACCGGGGGGCACTCCGATGATTAAGTCAGTAATCAAATATCTTTAAAAGATAATCAATAGTGCTTAACTCACTGTTCTGAATATAAATTGCGTACCTTAGACCCATGGGGGTGCCTCTATTTTATAGTTAATCCAATCTTAGTCCCAATAGAAGCCTAGCTTCAATGGACTTCTGCTATATTTGGTATGCCATCACTGGCTTAATATTCTGGTGTACTCTCCTTATGTGTAGTATGATAGGATAACTCAATACAGAGCTTTGATATTATAGCATTATATAGTCCAGGCTAAAGTCCTTCCTCATTCTAGGACTCTTGTCCCCATACCGCTATCATCCGAATTTCGATATCTTCGGAGATAACCTCTGCCTAGCCGAGATAACCTCGGCGTCACGACCAGGACACGTGGCATCTTGGCTAACACGTCGGCGTCACCTTGGCACGTGTTGGTACTAAAAAAAATATATCCCACAACTGCCCCCTAGGTTCTATTACCTCGGCATCCTGAGGTGATGGACCTATATCGTTCATGTCGGCTTTCTTGCTGTATCATTTATCGAAGTCATAACATACCGCTCTCACAACCAGGTCCTGTAGTCTGTCTCATCAAGTTTCAGAATTTTTAACCAAGTTTATTCGAGTTTATTTAGTCGAATTTTCCATCAGCTGGATGTCATTGCTTCATTAAACCAAGAACTCCAAGAGTTTTATCACGTGTATGAGCTGTCACGCAAAATAGATCATCCGTTTCTGCCACGCGTTTGTCCCCTAGTGGACCGTACTCGATACGCGCCTATAAGTCGTCTCGCGCCTGCATACGCCGTCTGATCAATACGTCGTTCTAGGCTCATTGATGGTGTTTTGCCGTCATTCTTCGCGTTTTGATCAAAAATAAATTTCTCTCTCTCCGTCTCTTCACTTTACACCACCGTTTCTGAAGCTTTTCCTTTCTCTAACTTTTTTCTCCCAAGTCTGCCGTTGTCGCTCCCATGAAGCTTTCTGCAATTACTTTCGTTCACTCCCCTCCAACGAGGATTCTTGCTGCACTTTTTCAGTCGCTGCCACTGTCTGATCTTGGCGACTCTAATTTTCCCTTGTAAGTCACTGTTTTTTCATTTCGATTTTTATTTTTCCTCAAACTGTTATATCTGTATACTGTAATTGCAATGTTGTTCATATTTGTCTTTTTGAATCCAATCATGTATTATGAACCGTTCTTTTAATATACACATAATTCCCACATACTTGTTCATTCTGCCACTGTTCTTGGCCTTGCACCCTTGCACACACTCTGTCACAGTGTTCTAGATGATTCATCCCTATTCTTGATTCTGAATCATTGCTCTTGTTTTTGTTTTGCCGTGTTTTTTCCAGATTCTTGCCTCCATTCTTCGTTTCCATAGATCTAGGTTTGGGATTTGTTTATAGAACCCACAAATTCTTAAGAAGAACTAAAACGATCCCCAAAGAATTCTTACCCCAGCTCACTTTTAGGTTTTTGCCGAGGTCACTATAACCCCTACAAAATAACTTCTTTTTGAAATCCAACTCCTCTGAGTTAAGCCGACGTTATGGGTATGTGGAAGCATAGGGTAGACACCCCGGCCAAGTTAGAACAATTTAGGCAGGAGTTTGACATCTCGGCCGACGTTCATCTGAGGTTGGCTGGAAAGGATGACTCCATCATGCCCACAACTGATTCTATGCCCTTCCTCGTTGTAGCTTTCATTGAGTGCGGACTTAGGCTCCCACTCGACATCCTCTTCCGTGAGATAATCCATTATTATAAATTGAACCCAATGCAGCTTGCCATCAACTCCTACCAAGTCATAAATGGTATAATAGCCTTAGCCAAACAAGAAAATGCTAGGGTTACCTTAGCCGACATCCAGTACTGCTACACCATGTGTGGCCTAAAAAATGAGAAAGACTATATTTACTACCTCAAACCGAGGTCCACAGAGTACAAAATTATTGCCGACCTCCCAGACTCCAACAAGGGAGCCGGAGATGATTACTTCATTATCTTGGGGAACTGGGAGTTCGCTCCAGATGAGGACCTCCACCTCTACCCTCTTCCTTGAACTATTTTTGTAAAAGGTAATGGTAAGAGCCTAGTGTTTATACTTACTTGTTTTTAAAGTCTTCAATACTTCATTTGTTTCTAATGTCTGTTTTTCTTGCAGCTCTTCCCCAACCAGAAAAAGGCTTCCGCAAGTCCTTTTTCCCCATCAAGGGTTTGAAGAAGCTATTGGATTTGCTAGTCCATAAGCGCAGAGCCCCTTTGGTACTCAACTTTATCCCGACCTACAAGTCAGTACTCCCCGACGTCCCAAAGCAGCAGAAAAGCAAGTCTCCTCCTTCCGCCACAACTCCACCAACAGCTTCTTCATCTCGGCCAGATCAGGGTTCAACCTCAGATCTAGTAGAACAACCATCTACCTCGGCTCCACAGTTGATCCCGCCATCTCAACGCCGTCGACGACGCCGAACAGTTTTTGCCGCTGAGATGGGCGGCCAGAAAACAGTTGCTAAGGACCTCTTGGCCAACATCCCGGCCACTGTTGACGCTGAACCAGCACCATCTCAGCCAAAGTCGAAACAAAAAAGGATAAAGAAGGCTCAGCCAATGGCAACGGTGACTCAGATTGATACTGAGGACACCTTGCCAATTTCCAAATTGGCCGAGAGTGATAAGGCCCTATCTGCCGCCGAGAAGAGTCTTGCCGAGGCCCAACCATCCGAGTCCACAAAATCAAAGAGGCTGAGGTCGTCTTCTGCAACAGCTTCGAGCTCCATGAAGTCTGACTCCCCCTGGAACCCCCAAATCACTCTGGAGGATAGGCCAGTTAGAGTTGGCGATAGTGCCGACGACGTTAATGTCGGCGTCGCTCTTAGTACCGCTTTGCTTCTTCCTGGCGATCTTGATCGAAACGCCGAGATGAGCGAGTATGAAAAATTTGCTCTGATGCTCCAGCGTTCTGTTCAAGTAAGTCTTCACACTTGGTATCTTTCTTTCTTTTTTATACTTAGAAAATTTTCTAATAACTTCTGCTCTGTCCATTTTTCTTCAAGCAATCCAGCACGCCCACTCCTTCTCAATGCAATCTTTTGAGACAAGGAAGGCGTTGGCCAACAAGACTAGAGAGGTTACTAATCTGCAGAAGACCAATAAAAACTTGCAATAAAAAATGAAGACTTTGGCAGACCAAGCCGAGGCCAGTGTCAAAGCCAAAGACATGGCCGAGGAAAAGGCAGATGCTGCTGATGCCATAAATAAGGTTCTTGAGGCCCAGAAAAAAGAGGCCGAAGAAAAGACGGCCGAGGCCCAGAAAGAGCTGCAAGATACCTTGGCCACAAAAGACGTTGAGCTCAAGGCCGTCGATCATAAGGGATACAATGAGGGGGTGGCCGATGTCACGGCGGACTACGAGAAACAGGTGAAGCAAGCATGCAACAAGGGTTTCACCCTTGGTTGGATGACTTTACTGAAAAAGCTTGAAATCCCCGAGGACTTCCCCCTCAGGAACACCGACGTCCTCGCCCTGCCATTTCCCCCAACTCCAAGCCTATCCGACGACGATTCTAAGTTTGAGGAGGAAGCTTTGGTGAGGAAGTCAAAGGAAGCTGCTGGGGCTAAGTTCCTAACTTCAAATGAGCAAGTCCTGGACTTGACTCAAGATGAGGAGGGTGAGGAGGTTCCCAAAGATGCTACTCCCGAGAAGGCAATATCTGACGTGCCTATTGCCGATAAGAGCCTCGACCAAACCCTCAAGGAAATAAATGTCAAGACTGCGGCTGAAAAGGCGGCCGACATGTCTTCTCAACAGTCTTCCGAGCTTCAGACCCAACCTGCTAGTGGCGTTGAAGAATCTTAGTTTGATGTTCTTTTTCTTTTTTTTTTGTACCTTGTACTTTTTCTTTCTCTGGAACAATG